GAGAGAGAGAGAGAGAGAGAGAGAGAGTGAGAGATTGTATTAGCGTACACATAATTCTTGTAACAAACGTAATATACAAATTAAAGACAGTATGAGGATATGGTTTGACTGTGACTGCCATGCAATATTTGCTATAACTTCTTCTAAAATAAATTATTTTAACGCAATAAAAAATATTATCCACCAATCTGCCAAGATAATAATATTGTAACCTTTTTTGATAAAATGTGGGTTGGCTCTCAGGGTTCGAATCCCGTCAGGGGCTCGATTTTGAATCCTTGGGAAAGGCACTTTACACGCATTTTCCTCACTTCTGTCAGGTGGGAATGGGTACCCAGCTATAGACAGTGAAAGATCTTGTCAGTTTGTTAGTGAAAGAGAGCTTAATCAACTGCTTGTACTGTATGCTTCCCAGGAAGCTGAGAATGTTTTTGGGTGTTTTATGGTCTGCTGGGGTAATAATAATACAGTGTAAAGAGCAAAGAGCTTGCTGTCGAGCGGGGATATGCATTATACAAATGTTATAATTTATGATTATGATTATGATTATGATCACGATTGTTATAATAATTATTATTATTATTATTATGACAATAATTATAATTATTATTATAAAGATTATGTATGTGTTCATAAACCAATGGTCCGTAGGACGAGCTGAAAAAAACCTAAACAGAAAGATGCACACTGTGCATCCTGACTGCGGGGTCGTCCTAGTCTCTAACACGAAGTCTTTGGACTGCCTATCAAAGATTGTAAGATCGTTTCCTGTCTTAGCCAGAAAGGGCTTTGTACAGGTAAAAGCCACCCCCCTCCTCCGCAAAGAAAGATAAATATACTTTTCCCCCCTCAGTTCAGCTAGCTTTGAACTGCTTCTTGGAAATTTCTTGAGGCGGACAGTGTAAATGATAGCCGATAGCTGTGTGCGCTTGACAAGCTGAAAATCTAATGCAACCCGGGGAAATGGGGTCTAAAAAAGAAAAGAAAAGGCTGAAGTTAGTTAAAAGCGGTGTCAACAGCCCATTGGAGGGGACACATGGCCAATAAGCAAGCACAGTCACTTTGACACTGGCACGTTTTCAATCACCTGTACACCGTATCAGAGGCAGCTGTCCGCCAGAGATGAAAAGACCTTTCTGTAAACTGTGGGCTCTTCGAGAAGTATAATGCAGCGTGGAAGCGCATGGCATTAAGAAGTTCATGGAACTGGCCACCAACTGATAGCAATGTGATAGGGTGCAGTGTTGGCTTAACACCACTTTCAACATAATAACAACATTTATAAAGGCGGCCGGGTATGTGAGTGTGTGTGTGGGGTGGGGTGGGGGGCTTTGATTGCGATCGTTTGCAGTAGGCCCAGACAAAGTGGGGGAACAACTTTGACAAACTGATGATAATTTAGTCAAATTTTAGCAAGCTTTTCTCGATCACTCCTTAGACACCGCCACCCAACCCCCTTAAAAAGGATACTAAAAAAAGAGAAGTATAAAAAGCAAACAAACGATAAAAAAACATTTCACGGCTTTCTTTTTTAAGTTTGAAAGGTTTTTATTTTTTACTTGTCTCTTATTTTTGTAGTTTTAAATCAAATAGCTAGTAGTTTGTTGGTGGGTTTTTTTAAACCTAGGTTTGGCATTAACCTCACCCCCTCTTCCAAAGACAGAGTTGCGATTCATTTCCATAGTTTTATTTATCATTGAACAATTTAAGTATTGCGTCTTTTGCAAGCCCAAAGCCGGGTCGCCCGTTCTAGACCCCAACGTGGAAAAGCCTACAGCTCAGTTGGTGTCATGCTGGACCATGCCAATTTCCACAAAAATGTTTCTGTTCTTGAGTTGTTTGGGAAGTCTCAACAGCTCGCCACCCGCTTGGTTCAGTATTATCGGGCATTTATGCTAAATTCTGAGGTGGCGCCCCTTGTGAAAAGACGTTATCGTGTTTGTAAGATTGACAAACGGATAGCGTGCGAGAAAGCGCCGGACTTAACCAATATAGAACTGACTGTATGCTGACTGATATCGGCCTCTCAAAAGTTTGTATTCATAAAGTCACTTCTTTCTGTGACACGCGCTGTTGTCTTTTAAAAGCACGTTGCACCTTTTGTAGTTTTTCATTTTCCCGTGGAATATGAAATCAACATTCAAAAGTCAGGTAGTCTACTAGAGGCATTTGTAAAAGAGAAACACATACACCGACAGACAAACAGACAGAAAGTCAAGTCACAACGCGATGTTTCTCGTGTTCCTCACACTAGTACAAACAGCCACGTAACATTTGCCGTGTCTTGCGGGGTGCAAAAAAGACTGAAAGCGGCACGGGAAAAGAAACACATGTAGATGGATTAAAAAAACACTGTAGCACTCTCCAACCGCCCTCGTAAAAATGTCGAATGGGGTTTAGTTGGTAACGTGATCAGTTGCACAGTTGTCATAATTGGTTTGAATCACCTACAAAACATTCTTCTGTAAGGATCGCTCGAGGGACGCCATGTTTGTGCACCAACTCTCCTTGGTCACAGTGGAGTTGGACGCTAAATCGGAGGTCCAAGTCTTAAACACTGACTCTGAGTAGTCTGATTTACATCTTTTTACAAGTCATAGGACCATGTTCTGCGTTCCTCTTGGTTTAAGTAAGGGGATAGTAGACAGGGTTTTCTCTTCTTTGTTATGTTGAAAGAGGTGTGTCGTACAATACAATACCATACAATGCAAACCATTACGGCGGAACTAAACAAACACAGAGGAATACAATAAAACATAAAGCCGAGCAATGTAACAACACATTGCAATAGAACAAAGTAAAGAACAATGCAACAACACCCAGGAAAGCACACTATCAAGATACAACAAACCGCATTGCAATATAGTGGAAAAGTACGGTATTAAAAAAATATACAGCTTGCAAATTTAAAACTCACTTGTAGGACAAGGAATATGCGAAGTAGATAAAGTAGGCGATGATCAGTATAATGTAGAACAAATTCCACAAGAGAGAAGAATTCTTCTCAATAAAGTCTGACAGCGCCGTTTGGATCCCGGCTGTGAATCTGGCACATGCGTTGTCCTCCTCATCGTCGTCATCCTCCAGATCTCTGTCCCTGCTTGAAGGGTCTCTTGTCGGTAGCCCCTGGAAATTAATCAAACGAAAATGGAAACCACCTAAGACGACCCCCCCCCAAGAAAAAAGCCAACCACAAGCAAGTCGAAAACCAAACGCAGAGCCTAACAAAAACTGCGTAAGTCTCTCAGTAATGAAATTAGCTTTATTATGGTACTATAGCACTCATGCACAGCGCAGTTATTGATTGATTCTGAGCTAGATCGCTCTGGTTTCTGAGTTAAAAATGTTCCCACTTCCAAATATTTCAAAACGGTAGAATCCTATAGCTCTACGCATTCTTTGGGAATAATGCAATTTGCTTGAAAATAACATAGTATATTGAAGCCATGGCAATTGTCAGGCCATGGGGTACGAATGTAGTCTAAGGCTTTGCATTTTGGTTTTCAACATTCCTTATGTCTGCAAAGAGTCAACTCTCGTTCACACATGAGGTCACCTGTTGATGAGCTCGGGCCCTACAACGAATCTGACTCTTGGATACAGCGTATTTATGGTTTCGGTAATACAAAATACAAGAAAAGAGAATTTGTTTTACGTTCATAAAGGAAAGAAAGAAAAAAGAGATAAGAATGAAGAGAACAATAATTATTTTATTGCCTCTGAGAATGTCTTTTTTTATTTTCGCCAGAATGAAATATACGTCGTTGCAAAATATGTGTGACACATATGACTTAATTTTGTTGACGTTGGAACCTAACGTCCTATTATACATATATCATGTCGAGGTAGATCATTTCGAAGGCACAGTTCTCATTGTCTCGCCAGTAGTACACTGGGAAGAGAGGTTCTAGTAAGGATGACAAGATATCCATCCTACCCACCCCCAACAGTCAAACACTAACACAGACACCCTGACCAAGTTTGTAACTTGTTCCGTCACAGAGGACGGAATACTACTATACATACGACAACTTAAAACACTATAGAACATGTCTGAGTGACCAGGGGTTGAGTATGAACTCATATGTTCATGACTGTTTGCATACAGCATTTCGATCGGTCTAGCAGTCGAACGCCACTACACCAGACACTCACCTTTTCATCCCCCAACTCTTTCATAAACCCGTCGTTATCATAAGCATTCAGTTCAAGGTCATTTTTAAAGTCGCCGGAAGCTGACTCCTCCGGGTCGGCAGATTGTATGTTCTTGATCCGTCGAAGTTCCGCCATTTTCTCAGAAAATGTGACGTACCTCACAGACTTTGAGGGGAAAAGGTGTCCTCACGATGGACTGGTTCTGGGGTAGTTAAGCCTTGATTCACGTTCCTGGCATATTCTGTGATTTCTTTTATTCCGTCAATTCACTGACGAACTGTGAGCAAGAGAAAAGAGTTTTGATAAATATTGATACAATGAAAAGTTAAAACCCACCATTGCAAACGTCCTAAACGTATCATATTTTATCACAGTTCTATCGAGACAAAGGCATGAACTACAAATAGTGTACAGGTAATTTAAAAGCAAAAAGTGTGGAAAAATGTCAGTTTTCAAAAAGAAAATGTTCTAGTAATATACATTTGTAGTTCAGAATATGAGACAAATCATGCCGCGTGAAGACAAATTCGGGGATAATTTTTTTTATTAAGTGTATTACACGTGAACGCACACACATAATATTACATATACAGACAAACAAACAAAAACAAACAAACAAACAAACAAACAAACGAACGAATAAACAAATACACAAGCAAACAAACAAACACGCTCATGTGATATCTATAACGAACTTGATATTTAGAAGACGAGAACGGACATGGCAACTAATTTAATTATGACGTAACCAATTGGCTTTGATTCAGTTCACCAATAGCGGAGGCCACCGTGAACACTGATGGACGGTACTAATTAAGTAACAGCGGAGTCTTTAAGTTTAAATGTTCCGAATGACCGAATGTTAGGAAGAAAAGGGCGATTGGACGTTGTTGTCTACTCAGGGTAATATGTAGAAGATGGCGAGCCAGTTTAGTTGGGGCACGGTATCGCTCTGTTGTTTACTGTCATAGCAAAAATCTACAAAACCTCATCAAATCCATCTTGTCTTTGATAAAACGAATATATTTTATTAAAAAATTCATTCATTTCTTTTCGATCTTGGGGTTTATTTCATGCAAGTAGGTTACATGGGAACAAAGTTATAGGGAACTTTGTGTATGTGTGTGTGTGTGTGTGTGTGTGTGTGTGTGTGTGTGTGTGTGTGCGTGCGTGCGTGCGTGTGTGTGTGTGTGTGTGTGTGTGTGCGTGTGTGGGTGTGTGTGTGTGAGTGGGTGTGTGTGTGTGTGTGTGTGTGTGTGTGTGTGTGTGTGTGTACACGGAAATAGAAAGGGGGCAAGAGGTACCGAAAACGTTTTTATTTTTAATGGCTAAGACACCACATTATAGTATTGTTCGTTAACTCGTCCAGGCCAGCGAATCGTAACATAATCACGTAGCACTAAACCTTGAATTACTATGAACTACTCACGTTAAACAGAAAACCTGACATCGGCCACATGATCAGTTTACTGCTGAACATACGCCATTTCCAGCTATACACAGGCCTACGTTAGAGCTTCTGTGTTTGTGTGTCATGTGTGTGTGTCATGAACCGCACCAATTTACACACCTGGTCCCGTCTCGTCGCACCAGTCCGCCTTCGCCCCCCCCCCCCCCCCTTCCCCGACCGCACTCCCTCACATCCCCACATCGACAACACGAAGTACAGGGAACTCGTTGAGCGAGGGGTTGCTACTAGGCCTAACCGCTACCAAAGTAACCATCTTTGGCTGAATAATTTAATTTGAGTCGTTTGGGTGATGTTTGCTCTAAGCTCACACTGACAAGACAATAAATATGAAATGCAGATTTGTGCATATTTTAAAACTTGTTGCAATTGTTCGCCAACAGTATGTTTGTGCTGTAAATATAATCAAATTGAATGTAGCAACATAATATGCAAAGACTAATCAGTACCCATTCTGCCCGGACGGACAGACGCGCGAAACGACACTGCATGAGTCTGCACGTGGGGTGTCTGCTTCTGAAGACATTAATTTAATACGGGACAGAGCTATGATGCGTCTTTCTATTTCGAGTCGTATCAAAACATACTCGGTGCTGACGCAAACAAAACATCGCACATGGTATTTTAACTCTGTTTCAACCCTGGCTTGTGCTCACATTGTCAGTGTTGCTAAACAAGATGCCACATTTTTTTCCAGGTTCCACGCACAGGCCTAGACTGAGTTAAAAACTTTGCTTAACACGTATCATGCAGAGCGGAGTTTTGAAGTGTACGCGACTCTCGCTGTCTCCAGCTGTTACCAACCAGAACAGGGAAAGAAACAAAAGGCGCATGGTACATTTTGAGACGGATACAACACCTTATTGGATTCTGTATTGATAAAAAAGTAATCCCCCCCGCCCCCACCTCCCCCCCCCTAAAAGAATAAAAAAAGAAAGCACAAAACAAAACGAAACAAAACAAAACTCTCCTCTCTAGAGAAACAGTAACCAACACCTCCAGCTTTCCATCATATTCAGAAGGCCCTCTCAAAGCTTTGAGACCATGATCATGAATGCATCCCACGTTTCACAACAGAGACAGTATCTGCCTTTTCTCCCATCTCTGCGCTTAGAACAATGAATCACCAGGCCTAAGACAAATTCTTTGTGTGCGGTGTATTTGCTGAGCATAGGCCGCGGTGACAATTAGCGCTGAACGCAAGCCAGTGAATCCACGCACTAAAAAAAACTCACACCATGCGACGCCCTGAAATGAAATAGCGGAATCAAATTACCGCACATGCCAATGTATTTTTGTTGGTCTCTCTGGAGGTTGCGAAAGCTCGTAAACTGTGAACAGGCACATGATGGGTAGCGGTACTGTCTGGAAAGTTATTCAATGCTACATTAATTTGGTTTGCTTGTGTGGAAGAAGCAAGTTAGCTTTAACTGTAAAAGTAATAATTTAACCCCACCGACATGTGCGATATCTTTTAGTTGCTGCATAATTGATGTTTTCGGATAGACATAGATACGATCTCAGCTGATAGCAGAGGTCTCAAGGTCTCAACCGTTCAATGCCCTTTTTTCTTGAGAGTGGGGGGGTAGGACAGTGCATCTCCTTCAAAGCGGACTTTTCTGTAATACGTTGAATACATTAACTATATGACTTTGAACTCATGTCAAACTTTTATTTTAAAAAATCAAACAGCGGTTCTTAGAGAAAATTAGTTTTATATATTTTTTCTTGACATTCGCTGAAAACACAGTGTGTGAGACGACATCTGTCGCGGGATGTAGTAGCCTTCTCCATGCCCATTCGCCATGAGGACGACCACTCGTTGCTTTCACTCGTCTTGCAGAAACGATGGGAATTGTATGGTGTAGTTTAAACATCTCTCTAAACGATGTAATATAATCGAAAAAGAACGACCTCCGATTTCAGCGTCCTATTTCGACACAACCGAACATAAATTGGCGGAGAGCCCTAAAAGCTTCCGAAGTAACATAAGTTCGAGAACACTAGGCCAGGAATCGAACCAGGTTCAAAAGCGCCGTAATCCAGCAAAATGACAGCTGACTAGTCAGTTCATCCCCAGTTGCTGCAATGTTACAGTGGAGTAACGAACACTTTTGCTGAATGAAGCGCGCCCTTTGGCTTTTCTAGCACGTGGGCGCTGGTTATTATTGGTTCCAGCTCTGATGTTCGACTTAAATTGAATCATAATTAAGCACAAAAAAGTAATTTTGAATTTTATCATAGGTTTTAGTGTCAGGCATGTTATACCATTGCAGATCCTGCACTTCAGACGGTTTGTAAAACTCCAGATGGCAGCCGCAGCGCCAGAGCACGAGCATTCCCTTTGATCAACCCAAGAGGGATACACACTGTTGCAGAGTGCTACACTCAAATCCGTCTTTGCACACGAGTAAAGGCACAGATGTCACCGGGTTATTGAGGGGGGGGGGGGGTAAAAAAACCTCGAACCAAAACCAAACCATAACAAAATGAAGATAGAAACAATCACACACACACACAAACAAAAACAAAACCAAAGAAAGTTAGCGTGCACCGAATGCGACGTTCTCCAAACTTTTTCTTGCGAGTCTAACACTTACTTGTAAGGCCCTGGGCGCTCTTTCGACTCATATATTAACATGCAAACGAGACATAAGCATTCTTCAGAGAAACACACACAAAAACGGCTGCAGAGGCTTTTGGTCTACCCACTTTTTGTTGCTGGTTCCCAGGTCACGATGAAAGTAGTTATGACCCGAAGACCCCAAACACCAGCAGGGTAAGGTGGGTAGGTTTAGGGAAGCCGTGACGAAGCCAAGGCAATTCGACACACATGATTGCCATCGCCTGTACGTGATGGTGGATGTGACACAGCATTGTGCGGTTGGGTTGTCTGTCGTTGCGCTTTTCATAGCCATGGCTACGACCCCGGTCTGTGTTGGCTGTTTACAGTTTACGTCACAGAGGACGCGCGCAGAGATCATTTCTCAATTCTTGATGGTATGCTGGTTTTCAGGCACTTTAAAAAAGAAGAATAACTTCCGTATTCATACAAATTTTTTAATTCTATTTTTTAAAATAATCTGAAGCTTAAAGGCATGTGTATCTCAGCACTCATTACTAAATAGTTAATGATCATTGTACTATCATATTATACCGTGCTACACACAATCTCGCTTGTGGTCGTATGTAACGACAGGACTTCGTATGAAATAATGGCCAGACTCAAATAGAATAACAGTAACGATTTGCGTTGTGAATATACGTATAGTATGAATAGGTTTTTAGTAAACATTACCAAACCAGGGTGCCGTCAGATGTTCATCTACCATGACTAAAAGAACAGTATGCATATGAATAGTCGCCGGTTAGACATTCTTAACTATTACTTCCCTCACTAGGATTTAATATCGAATGGACGAAACCTAGCTGCCAGAGTAGAGACAATGGTACAAAAAAACCCCAAACCCAAAACAAAAACAAACAAAAAAAACCCCACCCTGAACGGTTGCATGCGTTTCTGCCTAATAAGTCGCCTCTAAATTTCCAACGCTACATCTTTGGAATTTTCTACAACGAATACTGTCCTCCTTCTTTCCTATCCAAAGTTCTTACAGACAACTTAATGCTATCACTTAGTTCTTTCTCAAGTACCTCATGACTGTCAAGAGTGTCTGCAGACCTCGGCTTGTAAGACCCCGGTAATCTTACTGATACCTTCCTGACGCATTCACATTTTTATAACAATGAATCATTACCATATCAAGAGAAAATATTATGGGCATTAAACAGACAGAAAGGAGCCATCGGTGTATTACACGACAGTTTAAAAGGGTGTGTGTACAATAAGCCGAAGCTTTGCTCTGACACGCGCATATTAACACATCGCTTGATATTAGATCTAACTGTTTACATGTCGTCATATTCAAATGAAACATGCATGAAAAATAGATGCGTGTAACCAAACGCACATATCACAGAAAACAGAGCACGCGCTTCCGTATTGCTGCATTGAAGTTGAAGCAATTGAAGAAGACAAAAATCAATGGTTGTCAAACGGAAACGGGGAATTATGTTTTTGACACGACTTCTTTCACTCCCTTTCCCATGTTTCTCATTTTCTTTTCTCACGATTTCTCTCTCCTTCTCTCTCTTTCCCTCTTTTCCCTTCTCTCCGCCCCCCCCCCTCTCTCTCTCTCTCTCTCTCTCTCTCTCTCTCTCTCTCTCTCTCTCTCTCTCTCTCTCTCTCTGACACCTTGTCTTTTTCTTTTCCTTTTCTCTTCCTCTCACAACAAGTCAAGACAGATCCAGACAGACATTTTGCCAAACAGACAGACGAACAGGCAGACAGACAGACAGGCGGACAGACAAACAGGCGTACAGATAGACAGAGGGACAGGCACAGACAGACCTACAGACAGGAGGACAGACGGGGTTGATATACGGCGCAAGATGATAGGATCACTAGGCCACTGGGACAGACAAGACACTGCAGTTTGCACAGTAGAATGCTGTTATCAATCTTTTCAACAGCAGAACTCAAGAAAGCCTTATTCCGCATACCATTCTTCGAGACAGTCGGCCTTTTCAGCTTCGAGGTACGACAGTTACCTCTGCATCATAATAATATGCCTCTTCCTTGTTTAAATCCAACCACTGCTGGCAAATACAGACTTGTGTACGTGTAGAACCAGTTTCCTCGAGAAGAAGGATGCACATGATATTCAGTTTTCTCCTCTTTGTCTAGTTACGGCCGTTTTGAAATGCGTCGTCATTTTGGCTACCCTAAAGCAGACAGCACAGGACCGAAACTTTGCGAATATCATTTGAGAGGGAGACAGTTCAATGTCTTATGTCCCTATCGACGCAATTAAAACTATTTGGGAGGAAGGCTCAGTTGACTCTGTTTGTGCCCACCGGGGCTGAGAGAATTCTTCCCAATAGACAAAGTGTATTTATTTTCTTCCTCGAGGGGATCAAAACCGGAATAATTTTATTTATATCCTCTTTTTGCACAATAATAATAATAATAGATATCATTTGTATAGCGCATATCCCCGCTCAGCAGCAGGCTCTATGCACTTTACACTATATTATTACCCCAGCAGACCATAGAACACTCCGAAACATTCTCAGCTTCCCGGGAAGCATACAGTTCGAGCAGCCGATTAAGCGCTCAAACACTAACAAACTGACAAGATCTTTCGCTGTCTATAGCCGGGTACCCATTCCCACCTGGGTGAAGTGAGGAAAATTCGTGTAAAGTGCCTTTCTCAAGGACACAACGTCGGGCCCTTGACGGGATTCGAACCCACGACCTTACGGTTGCGAGTCCGAGAGCCTAACCATTAGGCCACCGACGCCACCATAATAATGCATGTATCTGCCCGGGCGCGTTTATGGATGTAGGTGGATATTATTGGCCTCTATCAAGTAAAATTCGGAGTCTGGCTACACTTGTAAGAAAATACATATGAACACTGGAACATACATTTTGCCATAATGCTCTCTTTGTGCCAGCTTAGAGAACGCAAAAAAGGAGATATGACAAGCATAGTGCCGTTTTCATGACACACTTAAACGTCAGAAGAGATTCACTACTGATTTTGTTATCTGACGTGATAACAACTACAACACCAAAAAGAATCCGGGAGTCCCCCAGATTTCAATGAAGGTCTTAAGTAGCGTGTACCTTTGTTCGATAGGTCGTGTTGATGCAAACGGATCAGGTCAAATTAAAAAAGGTAGAGTGAGCTTGCTCAAAGTGCGAACAAATTAAGGAAAAAGAAACTTTGACGTTTGCCTTTAAACTACCTTGATTATCCAGAAATGATTCAACTTCCCGAAGAGTCAAGCACATTGTTAGATCTATATAATAATAATTTACATTGGACACAAAAATAAACTGGCCTGTGATTTTTAGAGCACTAGATTTAGATTCTAGTTCTGTAAGAATGCCACTTATGAGCTCTTTGCCCTCCATCTGCACAGGGGACAAGGTAAATCGCATTTCAAACTATCAATATTCTTGTAAAAACAAACTCGAGAGTTTTTTGTTTTTTTTCAAATAGAAACCAATAAAGTCCAACGGTTTTGACTAATCTACAAGTGTGCCCATCGTCTTAATGCCAAATCTGAGCCAGTCATTCTTCAGTCGAGACAATCCATTGAATAAACACGTGCGTGTTAAAGGGGGCGGAGGTGGGGGTGGGGGACTCGGGTAATGGGCTCACCCCAAGCTGGCGGCGGGAATACAAGCATTTCACTCACTGGCCCTCTAGCACAGTCACAACCCTACCGCTAGTGAGGCGCCCCTCAAACGCCACAGTCTCCCCAGCGTAAAGAATAAATTGGTGGTGGGGGGGGGGGGGGGGGGGTTCATTACTCTGTGGCGTGTCTTCTTCCCAGTTTTGTCGAGCACCGATCTATCCGTCCGGTCTCCGGCCGAGCGAAAAGGAGATCACTGTGACTCCATAATGTGTAGATCTAGGTCATCTTGAAATAACGTAAACACTGGTTTCTGGTAAGTAGAAAATCTCACTAATAACACACTTCTGCACAGCACAGTATGGGGGCTGTTCAGGAAAGAGGGAGGCTGGCCCCTCTCCTCCCAAGAATAAAATAAAATAAAGTTAAATCCAATTCAAACAGTAGAATGGAAAAAGGTGGAGTAGGTGCATGACGGAACGTTGTTCATATTAAAAAAAAAATAATACGTACACGAGCAAGCCATTTACAGAGGAGGGTTTATTTAAAAAAAAAAAAATAGACTGAAGAGGGCGTTCCCGCTGTCAGCCTGATAAATTCAACCTAAGAGGACCCGAGTTACGAATTGGTGTACATGGGCTGGATATAACAGTGTTATCTCTTGTACTAGTTGTAGCCCCCTAGCATAAAAAAGGGATCTTTAAGGCTTAAGAAAGCATAAGACTTTTCTACAGGCCTTCCCCCCTCTGGGTTAGCTATTTAATAGTTCAATGTGTACAGTACACAACTGGGCGTGGTATTTGGCATCGTTTGTTGCATAGCAAGCTGATTGTTATGTCCGTGCACACTGCCAATCGAATTCAAATGAATTGAGTCGGGGCTAGCTAAAGTTTCCTCCATGGAGAAACAAAAGCTACCATTTTGGCTCAATACAACCGATTTAACGCGCGACCTTGAAAAAGAAACCCGTTTAATTTTTAAGGCCAGAGTCGGATTTTGTCGAATTCGATCGAACTGAGCAAAAAAGATAGCTTTTGCCCTATCCATGAAGGAAAAATCTGATAAGAATTAACTGAATTCGATCGGCAGTGTGTACTCAGTATCATCTTGCAAAATATCAGAGTCTAATCGACTTACTGCACATTGCCCATTAATTAAAATTGGTTTATTTGATACAGTCTCCTTCATGGACGGGCAAAAGCTACCTTCTTGGCACAATTCGACCGAATCCTGCAAAATCAAAACATGTTTGTTTTGAATTCGAATCAAAATGGTTGTATAATTCAGGTAAGAACAGCCAATCACAGGGCTTGTAGCCTACGAGTCAGATGGCATTGCTAAATTAAGGTCAGATCTTTTGTTTGCGAGCGGAATGCGATAATAGACAAAGTTTATTGGAGAAGCTGCTAGAAAGCTATCGAATTTCCCCAACTTTGTGGGATTCAAGAGCTTCTGAACACAGCAACCACGATTTGCAACAGTCGGCACTTGGATCCATATTATCATCGAGCGAAATGGCTGTGACGTGAACGACAAGTTCTGTTCAAAGCATACAGCTTATAAATAATTGTTTGGTTTTAGTTCAAAGTTTTCTTTTAGTTGTCTTCCGGGTCAAAAATTTATGAAGCAAACCAGGGTTCTATTACTATTAGTAATGTGCAATGAAGCCGCTATTAAAGGTCAGGTACAATCCTAGTGACAATGAGCACCCAATATGAACTCGCTGTCCTGGCACACATCGACGTCGATCACAAGCATAGCTTTTGAAGCTTTTCCTTTTCATTCGATCATTCATTTATTTAAGCGTACAATCGTTTAGAAA